TCAATGTTGTTGGCGCATTTCAGGAGGACGCTGCTGATAAAGTTACACAATTACACAGTGAATTTGCATTTATTATTATATTTATAAAATACCACAGTTTTTGTCTCGGCCGTGTCATTTTATTTTCTTGTATTTATCTGCAACACCTTAAAGGCCGGTCCGTGAAAATATCATCTGACATTAAACCGGTCCGTAGCACAAAAAAGGTTGGGGAGTGCTGGGTTAGAACATTCTGTAATGGGAGCTTTGGTTCCTGGATTTTGTACGCGCATCCTCTATCAAGGTTTTCTTCTCTGTGTCCAAAGAAAATTTTAAGAATAGCTCCAAGAGTCCTAGGTAGAGGTTGCTTGTCTGCATTGTGATGGATGTTTGACCTGCCAAGTATAAAATTAGATTGGATGGGCCAGTATAGATGGGATGGATTATAGATTTACAACTCCATCAAAAAGGCTGACTGGGTTGATAAAATGTTGTCAAACAAACAAGAGCTTTCACCTCTTGGTTATTTTTGTCCATATTCATATTGCCCATTTCTGTGTCGTCTTTGTGTCTCATATCTTCTTCTCTCCACTCTTTCAGCCGTTTTAATATAATTTCTTATCCTGGATCTCTCCTTGATGTGTAGCCTGTCTCTGCCGCCCCATTGTTTCTCTGTGATGATGCAGCTACTTTTTATCCACCGGGGCCAAAAAATGTACATAGAGGACAGCAAGGTTTTTCTTTTTTTGGCAGACAGCCATCTCACTTTTGTTTTCTTGAGTTTTTTTGGACACGGCACCATCAGTCTTCAGCCTGGCTCCAACTGGGCCTAATTGGATGTATTAGCGCTGAGTGCTAGCAGGAGTTCTCTCTGTTTCCGATTCATCATGAGCAGACTTCTTAAATAGCCAGCTCAGCCCAGCACAGCAGGCGGGGGTAAGAATCCCTGGGGACAGGCTCGCTCCCCCTGGAGAGAGGATGAAGAGTGCCTTGACAGCAGTGGTCTCCTAAGAGTGGATGTTTAAAAAGAAATGGCATAGCTCATATGGAGAGATGGAGAGGCTGCCGTATGCCAACATATGTTAAATGAGTCAGGCCCTCCAGACAGCCTTTGCTAACGTTTTCTCCGAGTGTCAGCGTGACATCTAATAATGGCTGAATGCAATCCATAATTTATCAGTTCTGGTGATCATATTTGCAATTATACACTGACAGCCTGCTATTAAAGGCGAGGTGCACTATTGTTTTTACGTCTGGTTGTTAAAGGTCCAATAATAAAAGGAGACACTGGTTTTTACTGCATTCACAAACGATTTAAAATGTCAATTACACCCCGACAGAATGCAGGAGATTTATCTTCTGATGCCAGTTGTCCGGACTTATTGTTATATGCGCTGCTGAGTTTTGCTGCTCAGTATGTTTAAAATTTAACAGGCCGTGTTCCATAGCTTCTCTGTTTTGATATAGTGTGCCACTGGGCATGCATGCTACTGAATTAAATATCAGCCAGTACCCTGCAGACTTCTCAAACGATTCACTCACACATACAGCACAAAGACACGCCCTCGTGGTGTACGAAGATGAAGTGCTCATGAGTAAGCACGCTTGCTTATGTGCACACTTACACAAATTAAGATACGCACACACTTTGTGCCATTTTCAGAGGCCTCACACTTCTCCATATCTGCAGGATCAGCCTCCTGTTCTGGCTGACATTCCTTTGCACCTGCTTGAGGAATTAGCTTTTCTGCTCCCATCACACAGCCCTCGCTCCATCCACACTGCCTCTAATTAACTTTTACAGTGGTGCTGTTTTTAAAAAATAGTGAGCCGTCAAGGCAGAATAGCACTGCGAGGTTTTGGCTGGTGTGTTATGCAGCTGTAGAAAAGGTCAGAGAGGGAGCTAAATGGTCTGGCACACTGTCTTTTTCTCCCTTGACTAGTATTAAAACTGGGATGTGGTGGAAAGAAAGGATGGGACACAAGAGTTTTAGCCATCCTATTAATATACGAAAAATAAAAAGCAGTCCGATTTTTTTAATAAAAACATCTTTTAAACCCATTTTGTTAAAGATTCAGACTATGTTGAGCAACATACCACTTTAGCTGTCATACCTATTTACCAGTGAGCAGCAGTTATTCACATCCCTCCTTACTGCGATTTCTAATGTTCATCCTCCACTTGTTTGGATGGAGGATTTTCACAGGTACAAGCCTAAAACCAAAAACAGCAGAGATGCTGTACAAACTGCAAATAAAAATGGGATGCAATGATTTGCAAATCTCATAAATTCATATTTTATTCTCAGTAGAACATCTGAGACATACCATTTCATGAAAAAGATTACCTCATTTAGAATTTGATGGCAGCAACATCTCACAAAAACGTTGGGAAACAAAACGCTGTAAATGTCAAAGGTGCTAAAAAGAAACAGCTTGAGAGGATGTAATAAATGACATAAAGGAAAATAGCAACCTCGCTAATATTACAAAAAACCCTAAACTTAAATACGAGTGATCCTCAAAACCAAAAAGAATTGCAAGAAACACACACAGAGAAACACCAAGGACCAAGACCCAGGGCCCCCGACAGTATAATGCCTACAGTGCTGTGATCTCTTCTGTGAGCAGTAAAGTGTTTTACACACATTTACATTCCTGACATAACCTCTGGTTCTGCCTTGAAGCAGCTGTTGTGAATTTGTGCTATATAAATAAAATTATATTGAACTGAATAAACACATCATAGAAAGTTCTCTTATTTTATGTTTGTCACAAAAAGCAAACTGCACCTACGCTGCTGGAAGTCTCATTGAACCCTCACATCTGTTTGTTTGCAATCCTGTTATTGATAGACACCCATCTGCACTGGTCACCCATACAGCTCTTATTGCAGCCCTCTTTAGTAAATCTGCCCCATGAGGTCAACCACTGATTTTGTCTTTTTTTTATTGTACTACAAATACATTATAAGGTCGTGTCTTTGTAGACACGGTGCTGTTGGTTGGAACATTCCCCAACCTGTTGCCTCAAAATTGGTTGTTGTCTAAAATATTAATGAAGGTTTATAAAAGTTTGCCTATCTTGCATCTACATTGACGAAACTCAAAACAGGGGAAAGCTGCACCTTCTTACCCAGAGCGGTGCAATTCACGTTTGTGATGGAGTGATAAATTCAAAAGATGTATTAACCCTCTCATATCTGCACTTCAGTTTGTCAGCCAATTTGTCAGGATCAGCTTTCCAGTTGTTCCAGTCTTCAAAATAGCTCATACTATGAGTTGCATTCATTCATGTCCCTAAATCAATGCAAACCGGGTGAATCCACCACCGAATGTCTTTCCCTGAGGTCAGAATCCTCCCAGCCTGCCTCCCGGCACATATTACCCAGAGGTAATTAGGCTTTAAATCGCTACCGCCGCTTCCTTTTCGTACAACATTTATTCTCCATGAAATGCACACTTATTAATTGTTCCGCTCAGCTGATCTCTGCAGTGGTGTGTGTGCTGGAGGGAAGTTTGCTAATCAGAAAACCAAATGAGAATTCTTCAGCCGTGGTGACGACGCAAAGCCACCCGTCAAAGTCACTCCAGACACGGTGTGGTCACCCTTGAGCCAAAATGGCATCCAGCTCCTCCCTCCCCCCCTTTCAAATGATCTATTAAGTTCAGTGAACTGTGACTTTGTTGCCGACCTCATTACGATTATCGTTTTGTCGGTATCGGAGATTGCATCCAGTGTAATAGAGCCGCTTAATTAAAACGACACACACAAAGGTTACCAGTCAGTGGTCGCAAAGTAAAGGTCGTCCTTTCCCCGGCTAGCTGTGCCACAGATCACCAGAGGAACGCTGCTGCCACTCCACGCTCGCTCGTTTTGTTTGTCTGCCGGGGTCACCTCTGATTTGCTGACGAAGCAGTAATGTCTTTATGGAACCAAACCGACCTCGAGTTCATCGCTGAGCTCAGGGCCCGTTCACAGAGAGCTGTATCAACACTTGGACATTCCTCAACCTCTCAGCTAAAACACTACAGGGCTCTTCAAATAAACCATGCGTGCCTGTGCCAGGAAAACAGGGGGGGAAAGCAACAAGAATCTTTCCTTTCAGCAGAATTGAAAGACAGGAGCGAGAGAATCTCCTGCGCTGCAATTAAGGAAAATCGCAAAAGAGAAGGAGTACGATTAGAGGGAAAGACCGTAGCTGAAAAAGAGAAGCAGAAGGGGGATAGCGAGGGATGCTGAAAGTGAAGGGGCGCCTTTTGAGAGAGAGGAGTTACTCAGTTGATGCCTTTATTCTGTCTTCCTGAGGCATCCAGATCAGCTCTGGCAGCTAAGCCTCGTCATTAACAGCTTTAGATTTAATTAGCTGTCATTAAGCCTCTGTTTTACTGGGGGAGCTTGCAAATATTTAATCACTGTTTGGGTGATGTTTCATGTTAGTATTTGAGCAGAGGGAGGGACACTGCATCAAAAACTCTGATCAACGCAGTCTTTCCTTAAAATGCACGTGTGCTACTTCCTGCAGTTTAACAGAGGACTTTTTTTTTTTTTGTTTCTGGTGGTTTTTAGTAGTTTGTTTATTTGACCTCTCCATACATGTTATTAAAGAAAAGAAACAAATGAAAACTGCTGCACTCAGTGTATAAAAAATGCAATATTCTATTTAATCAGATTACATATGTAAAATGGATTTTAATTCCTTGTAATCGGAAGGTTGCCGGTTCGAGCCCCGGCTTGGACAGTCTCGGTCGTTGTGTCCTTGGGTAAGACACTTCACCCGTTGCCTACTGGTGGTGGTCAGAGGGCCCGGTGGCGCCAGTGTCTGGCAGCCTCGCCTCTGTCAGTGCGCCCCAGGGTGGCTACAATGTAGCTGCCATCACCAGTGTGTGGATGACTGGATGTGTAAAGCGCTTTGGGGTCCTTGGGGACTAGTAAAGCGCTATACAAATACAGGCCATTTATCCATACAGTTATTCACTGTGCTGAAAACTCCTTCTTCCTCTCCTCTCCTCTCCTCGCAGACTGTGCTTGGAGGCGAGGGACCCTTACTGCGGCTGGGACTTTAGGCAGCGCAGATGCACCACGTTGGAGGACAGTTCTAACATGAGCCAGTGGAAGCAGAACATCACCGTTTGTCCGGTAAGAGTGACATCACGGCCTCGTTTTCCTGTAAGAAAAGGCCAAGGGCGCCTGACTTCTTCTCACAGCGGGGGTGTAAGACGTACTGCAGGCGCTTTGTTAATGTCATCTTTTTTTTCACATTCAATAGTGGATGATACCATTCATGTGTCCCGTAAAAGAGCTGGCTCAAGTGCAGGTTATAGGATAAAGCAGAGGAAGAAAAGAAGGTGAATTTGACTAAGCTTAAACAACTGAAATCAAAGGGATTTAAGTTTAAGTTGGCAGAAGGAAGTGAATTGTAGTGCTTTTATTTCCATTTACTCGTCTAAAAACATTCTCGTCTTTATTTTGGTAAGCAGGGCCTGTCTGCTTCCTGTGACTTATGACCGATGTGTGTTTTCCAGCTGCGGAACCAGACCATCGACGGCGGCTTCGGGCCCTGGGCACCGTGGCAACCCTGCAACAATGATGATGTTGTTGATGGTGTGAGCTCCTGTTTGTGTCGCTCCAGATCTTGTGACAGTCCTGCCCCTCGGTGTGGAGGCAAAAACTGCGAGGGCCCCACCATCGAGGTGTCAAACTGTTCAAGGTAGAAAAGAAAATATCTGAAAAGAGTGATTTTCTATTTTTCACACTAGTTTTTGAGTGCACAGTAATGCAGTGTGGGTTCTTCCTGTCCCACTGCGCGGATTTCTCCAGGTGGATGAAAGGCTAGTCTATTTGCTGAACTGTGATTCTCAATTGGCTGTAAGTGTAAAGAGAGGCAAATTCAACCAATACAGAGGCTACTAAGGTACACTTGTGTGCTGTTTTCCAAAAACATAAATCACACAGGCCTTGAGACCAGTTGGTGACCCCCTGGCAACCTGAATTCAATAAATGTTTATTTCTACCCATTGGTAAGTGGCTTCTGCAAGCTGGTGGTTATAACTAGATCCAATCAATCAGAAAGCAGGTGCTGCACAAAAACCTTCATGGAGTTGTTTTGATTGCCGTGTTCGCTGTAGTCTGCATGGATGAGACCACTTTTTCTGCAAATGCTCAAATTTACTCTTCAAGCTTTGGTAAAAAGTGCAACATGAACCGGAAACAGAAAACAAAGTAAAAGTTGTTCCTTACCACTGTTAGCTACACGCTAGAAGAGGCACAAATGTTAGTTTTACTGCCACGCGTGTCTTCAAAGTTAACTGCTGGTGACTATGGCAACCAGCTAGTGACCAAACTAATCACAAGATGGTGTTGACCGGTGGTTGCCAACAGGTCTCAACATGCTATTAAGACTGCGTGACTGAGGCCTAACAACACAACCTAATGTTGATTAGACTATAAATAGTTATAGAAATGCTGATTGGTTGATAAGCTGGCTTTAGGAGGAAAGGAAAGATCTCAGGAGCTCACCATGAAGAGGAAGAAGCACGAAAGCTAACCACACTGTAACAGTTCCACACGGTTTGTGTGTCACTTCACTTCAGAGAAGTGTTTGTCTATTAAGACCACTGTCTTCTCCACAGTAGGGGCTACCCTAAAGGACCAGCAACAAAACAATCATAAGTAGCCACATTACTGCTGCCACATATTTTTGACACTGCCCCAAGGAGACAGTACACAGCTGGAACATGAAAAAGGTGCTCTGCAAAGCTCTGTGTAGCATCTAAGGATGCTCCAGATGGATTTCTCTGCTGCAAGTTTCCTTCATTACATTTTGCTGATAGCTAAACTATAGTGTTACTTCAGCTGGACTCCTTAGCTGTCACCTTTTTCCTTTTATTTCAGTATTTTACTAAAATTTATTTCATTTTTGCATTTCTTGTGTCACTCTGTCAGATAGAGCTCCTCTCTGGGAGTTAATGTATGGTGGATGAGTCCAACGGACACTGCCAGGTTGAAATTATTCCTTTTGCTAATGAGCTGGGCCAACGATCAGACGAACTCTAATGCCTTTACTTAAACTCTGCTATTGTAGCAGGAATGTCCAGAGTGACTTTTGAAGCAGCCACCTCGGGGTGCAATTTCTACTCTGACAGAACATAAGAAAGATCATGAAAGTGATGAATCTTTTTAGAAAGTGTAGGTGACATCCACATTCTCCTTGTGACATCTCTTACTACCGCTGTCTTCGGGGGAATTGGCTAATCAGTGTTACAGAGAACGGAGTCAAGACAAAGAGCTCAGGAACTTTCATCCCGCTGGATAGTCACGCCAGATTTAATCCTTGGTGTCGCAATTGAATTGTGCTTTTGCAGAAAGTGCCAATTAAATCATGACGAGTGAGACCCAGGAACAAAGCACTTAAGCAAATTGAATGAATGTTCCCCAGTCAGAATGAGCTGTCTTTGTGTGTTTGTATTTTTATTTGCAGGAAGTCAGAATAAGAGCACTGATTAGGCAGTTATAGCTAAAAGGCTTTTTTTTTTTAACTATAGCATTAAAGAATGTTATATACAAGAATAATGCTAAAAGCAGCAGGGAATAATTATAGAGAAGTTGTTGTTGCTAATATTTTTCTTTCATAGAAATGGAGGCTGGACACCCTGGTCGTCATGGGGACAGTGTAGCACAACCTGCGGTACAGGCTTCGAGCTGCGCCAGCGTTCTTGTAACAACCCCTCACCTCGCCACGGTGGCCGTGTGTGTGTCGGGCCTAGCAGGGATGAAAGGTACCTCTCTCTTTGTTTCTCAGCGACAACAGTTCATGCTCCTCATTACTCGTGATTTACAAGGCTTTACACAGCCAGGTGCCAGGGTACATCAGTGGACTCTTAAGTCCTCGCTGTGATCAGGCGTTTGCTCTCCTCATGGCCCAGCTTTGGAACAGCATTGAAGTTAGAATTTGGTTGTATTCATTGACTTGCCTTATCAGACTTTTATACGTATGCCAATGAATAGAGGTGGGCAGATTGATCCAAAAATTGATAGTATCAACTCAATCGCTGGCATCGGATTGATTCTAGCACAATAGGATCGATACTTTGTTTCTATCCTCGAAGGTCAGTATTTTTTGCCCAATGAATTGTGTTAAATTTTTATTTTTTCAAAATGAAAAAATATACCTCAAACATGTACCATGAAAAATGTATTGTGCCGACTGTCACAATGTGTTATTATAGCCTATAGCACATTTAAACAACAGAAGTTGACTCAAAGTGCTTTAGAGACTGGAACATTCACATTCCAGGTCTGGAGAAAACCCAGTTCCAAAATACATGAAGCTGAGAGATGTATTCTGTTGTGTTAACTAATTTCTGTGGTAAAATTCACAGTGATTTAACAGCCATTAAATGATGTTTAGAGTTTTCAAATTGTTTTCATCATATAAACCATGACATACTGCACTCCACAACAGAAGCTCCTTCATAGGTTAAAAGTATAGATATTATTGTCGTGAAAAAAATGCTGAATTTCAGTTTTCTGTCTTTTGAGTGCAGAAGTGTAGTCTCTAAGTCTGTAGTTCTGACTTGAATTTTAGTCACTTCCACACCTCATCCTGCTGTCGCTGCCATCTTCACAGGTTCTGCAATGAAGGGGTGTCCTGTCCCCAGCCTATCTTCTGGACCCCGTGGGGCTCCTGGACAAAGTGCAGCACCGAGTGCGGTGGAGGTGTCCACTCCAGGGTCCGCACTTGCGAGAATGGCAACAGCTGCCCAGGATGTGCATTGGTAGGAAACGCACGCACTCACATAAATATCTGCTCACATAACACAAAACAATAATGGAACCAATAATTTAAAAACTACATTTTATACAGCTGCACAATCTGATATTTTTAAGAGAGCAGTGGAATAAATCAGGGGTGTCAAACATAAGGTCCAGGGCCTACAATCGATCCAGCAAAGACTCCAGTCAAGCCCGCTGGACGGCTTTAGGAATGTGCACAGATTTCAAACTTTTAACGTATTTTCAAAGGTTTTACAGCTTTTACTATTGAAAAAGAACCCGTTCACATTCCTGTTTTTTCACTATGTATCTGCTATATAAATGTATGATTTTTTTTTGTTTTTACAGTGGTTTATGAGTTATTAAATATTATACATTAATGAAAACTTTCTGGGGAATAACATTATTATAGAGGTAGGGCAAGGCAAGTCCTCCTAACTGGGAAGAAAACCAGTTTGTCTTCCCTTTTTATTCACAAAAGAAATCAGTAACATTCCTGATTTTCCTTATTTTGTGTGAAAAATAACAGGTAATTGTTCCATCTCCACAGTTTTTTGGGAAGCACCTGCAGTTTAGTTTTCACAGAAAGAAGAGGAACAATTTTCATTTCCGTGTCAGTTTTTCAGTGCACCCATGCACACAGTGTAATGTGTGTTTTGTTTTTGTTTTTATAACCTTTTTTAGCTTCAGTCTGTACAGGCAGAAACAATGGAAGAAACAAACCCCACCAAACTCATAGCTTCTGCCGCCTTCTTTCTCAGGAGTACAAGGCCTGTAACCTGGAGGCTTGTCCAGAGGTGAAGAGGAACACACCTTGGACACCCTGGATGCCCGTCAATGTCACTCAGGGAGGAGCTCGTCAAGAGCAGAGGATGCGCTACATGTGCAGGGCCCACCTGTCTGATCCTCACGAGCTGCAGATTGGACGGAAGAAGGTGGAGACGCGCTTCTGTCCTAACGATGGCACAGTGGCCTGTGAGACAGATAGTAAGTTAACCATTGTTGTCTCTAGAGTTTTATTGTCACATTTTACAGTACTGTCACCTTGGGTTCAGAGGAAAACCTAGCATCAAATAAAATTCACATACTGGCAATGATATCTAAGTAGCTCCACAACTCAGTTTTAAATGCAGACATTTTTAAGAGTGGCTATTGCTGTTTTCCTTCAGCGCTGGCACTGAGGAGCAACCCTTTTCCCAGCTCGGGGCTTGTGGTTTGTCACATAACTTTTATAGCTTAAATTAACTGCTTTTGCTTTTACTATTTGTAGCTGTTCTGCAACAAGTTAAAACACCATCAGATCTTAAACTGATTAATTGTTGAATTGATAGCATTCGTTTTTATACTGGATCATTGCCATGTAAGCCTTTGCTGCCATTCTGTGGTTTGTTGACATGTCCATAGTACTTTGCCATCTATCTTATTTTCATGATAATGTGTGACTGGGAAATGGACTTAACTATTTCTTACTTTCTTAAAGATTAAACATGAAAACAGCTATGTCTTCCAAAATAATGTGAAACAGTGACCATGAAAATATAACATTTTTGAGCTCTTATCAGATAATGGGTTTACCATCACGGACCAATTGCAGGGCATTCAACATGCAGTTTTACTGTATGCATTTTGCAGCAGATATTCTTCTAGTAGCTCCAATCGTGTAACAACAGTCAAGTAAATGATTTTTTTTGTGCTCTCTGCACAAAACTTAACAATATATTCCCACTGAGGATTTGACCCCTTCACAACCTGGGCTTCTATTGAGTACCACTACTCAGTAATCTGTCCACGAATGGCACACAAATCTAACTTTAGTGCTTTGTTCCAGTGTGTACTCCAATCTGTCGATTACGCTCGCTGATGTTGCTTGCTACAGGATAGAGCCTTTGCTCACCGAGCTCTCCTCCTTTGAAATAGGCTGCCTTTGCAGGTTTGGGAGGTGGGCTCTCACATTATCAAGTGTAGGCTCAAAATCCATCTCTTTTCTATATACCACAATCTCTCCTCCTTTGCTGCCGCTGGGATGCCTTCAAAGGGCTGTTACGTGACAACTAGCGATCCACGCTTATATAACTTAACTGAACATAACACGGTTATCTATTACTCTGTTATTTATTTGTGTGTCATCTGTTTCTGTGTAATGATGTCCATGTGTTGTAATCATATATTGTGCACTGTAAGCTCTGTAGTGGTGCAGCACTATAAAAACAAATGCTCCGATCTCCACCTTTAGGTTCAGCTGCCTGAACAAATCAATGTTCTCTATAGATTAACCAGTAAAAACGTCAATGAAAATAGACATCCCTGCTCCTGCCTTCTCTCTTATCTGTGCTAAGGCCCTCACACAAGCTCAGGCATACACACTAAAGTAAGTCAATGCTGACTTTTGGCTTTAAAACCTGCTCTCCCAGGTAAAAATGCTCTACTTAACCCATTGCACCGTGACATCCAGCTTTCTATGCTGACTTCTGTTCCTTTTTATGCTACTTTAAATATTTTATGAGATCTGATCTCAAACTAAATGTGATTGGCCTGTTACTCTTGTTAGAGCCTCTAAAGCATGAAAATACGAGTCCAAAGGAGGTGCAGGACACTAGTCCCCTCTCAAATCACATGATTAACAGTATCCTGACAGGTTTTTATATAGTTTTTCAACCTATAACACTGAAAGCATGTTGCTTTTTTCAGCTCTCTCTGATATTTAAAAAGAGACAACAGAAAAGAAAATGTGAAGATAATCAAAAGCCAAATTTCAGTGTTGTTTATATATTTAATAGTTTTTCAAATTCCAGTAGGATAGCAATTTCTGTCTATATTTGGATCTTTGTTTATGTGTACACACATAGTACTGTAGTTCAGACAAATTGGCCTACTTCTCTGTGAACAAGTGAGAAGGCAGCAGCATGCAAAGATTTCTCCCAGGAGAGTTGTGACATGCTGAAACAGCCCTCCTGTTAGCTCCCCTACATGCTGTTAGTGACGGAGTCACAGTCCTGTGCTCCCACATACACACCGTCACACAGAGAGTTGCACAGGGCCACAGTCCACTGCTCCCCACTGGTGGCTTTTTAATGCCCCCTTCCCTAAATCGATTACCTGTCTCTCCGTGTCAGCCTCCTGGGGGGGCCGCATCGACTCTGACAAACTGATGAAACACTGACAGCAGGAAATCGCAGGATGCATGAGAGACACAGACCGAGTCTGAAAGGAAAAGAGAAAGAAATATGCCTCCTGGCAAAGTCATGTACACAATGTTTGACTTTCAGTCAAAGACTTTTCATGCTTCGTGTGTCTGGTGAAATTCTTTAAGATCTCAATCTAACAGCGCAGCAGAAATTTCTTTAAACTGGAACTTCATTTCCATTTTCTTACCCCTATTTTTCTTCTCTCTTTAGCCCTTGTCGAGGAACTCCTCAAGACTCCAGTGGTGAGAGTATCGGGCACAGGCTGGTCATCATGGGAGACCTGGTCAAGCTGCTCACACAGTTGCGCAAAAGGTTATCGCACGCGTCGGCGAACCTGCTCTGGCCCAGAGGGAAAGAGTGCCCCTGTGGCCTGCCGTGGCTCGCCTGTGGAGTATCAGGACTGTAATGTCCAGGCATGTCCAGGTCAGTGAAGATACACTACAAACCCTGTTACGTTTTGCTTACAAGCAGCAAGACTTTCTTGTAATTTGTGGTCCTGAGCAATAGTTCTGCAGGCTTACTGAAGGCCTTTCAAAGGTTTTGGACTTTAGCTGCTTCATATATTACACATGACACATCCTCAAATATGTCGTGTAGCATCCCAGCAGGTGTTCCAGTACAACCTGATTGCAGGTAATCACAAACTGAAGATAAACCGAGGATGGATAAAGGCGGTTGGTGTCCTGTTGCTAACCTCTTCAGTATATCGTGGGTCGATAATCGACACACATCCACACTTTCACACTCGGAGAAAAAGATGGAAAAAGAACGAGAGAGGGAGGGAGGTCGGTGGGGGTACTAAAATACTGCTGAGTGGATCATTAGCTTCATTTGCTAATGGTTACCAGCAGCTTCAGCAGTGCAGGAAGCACTATTGGACAAATGAAGTTATCTATTTCAAAGTCCTCATCAAACCATAATCAGCTGACCTAGAACTCTTCTGCTGCATTGACAGGCTACACTTATTAAACAGAATGAGGACAGACACACACACACACACACACACACACACACACA